GGAATAGAGGGAGGTGGAGAGCCATGATAGCCTACGTCCTGAAAAAAAACATGACACATAAAAAGAATGACTGTAAGGTAGAATTTGGGATCGGGGAAGTTATTTCAATTTCCAGCCGAGTCGGTGTCGTTTATTCTCACAATTTGCTCTTGGGAAAAATCATGTGTTTATCACTTCTGCCCATCTAGTTATTACTTAAATATAACATTAATCTATGCTCCCTGACCTTGGATACCGTAAAATCTCGGTAAACAACTCTGAATTAAAAAATCGACTGAATTGCTATTATATACATTTTGTACAAATACATTTACAATTGTATGCACTCGTTTGATGTAATAAAAATGTAAAAGAAATTGTCAGAAACTGTGTATCTTATATTTTCGACGAGTTGTGGTTGTTTTGGTTTGGTTTGATTTGGTTTGGTTTGGTTTGATTTAGTTTGGTTTGGTTTGGTTTATTTTACGGCATATCAACCACAATGCCGACAACATTTCATTTTTTTAAATTTTTTTTCAAAAATGTATAGCTGGTAATATTTTTTTTAAATGAATAGTTTGGTTTGTTTGTTTTGTGACATACTAAAATCAGTCGGTTATTTAAAGCTGATAAGATGTTTATTTCTGGTAATATTTTTCTTTTTTCAAATATTTACTGCTGATAATAATTTTTTTAAAGCATTTCCGGTATTAAAATCTATTTTTAGACTTTTATAGTGTTTTGAGTCAGGCTGTGGGGTCAACTATTTGCCCATAGCTGGGACCCTAACAGGTGCTACCAACCCTGGTCAGGGTGGACCTGGGAACACCATCAATTAAAAGGTGGTTCCACGCTCCTCAAAACCACCTGATCAGAGGCCTTGCTGCTGGATGTAGTTTATCGTCTTACCCAGGACACGAATATGGTTTATCGACATACCCAGGGCGGTTTGGTTGATTTAAAAGATAGAATGTAGCATTTTGAGAAATAGAATTTATAAAGTTTGTTATTCCACAGACATAGGATGTGAACGACTAAATCAAACTAGTATAACGATATCAATATCTAAGAATGTATTAAGGACAGAAAATGCAATACTAAAATCCAAAGGTTCATTGGAATAAGGAAAGATGCCTTATAAATGCCAAGCAACGTAAAAATAAACAGGGAAATCTCATTAGAAACGAAGAAAATAATACTGGAATATTCTTCAATATCAGTTTTTCTATATAGTGATCTTCTAAACGTAGCAAGATGGGGCACAAGGCCGAAAGAATGGGATATCTAGTGAGGATATATCATCGTGTGAGACAAGCTAGACAGCCATTAAATCAACGTGTCCATATCTATTACAGTGATTGTTGGATAATCTCTTAACAGATAAAGAAGAGACTTCTGGCAACAGAAACGTAGGTCTGCAGAAGGATGCTGGTTCTCCCATGGATCAACGACAAAGTTTTATTAAAAATTCAAAGATAAAATGACACATAGAATCAGAGAAATGTAGTTGATCTTTCTGTAGCGCAAAATGGGAATAGGCGTACTGGAAAATGCAACAAACACAAACTTTATACTCCGAAACGCGTTAATAAATTGGTAGTGACATTTAGGATTTCTCGGATTTTTTGGATTGATTTTCCCAGCTGGTTTACACAATATGTCAACAAATTGTTACATTTTCATTATTCTGCGTAACGTTCTTTATTTTTTTTTTATTTCAGATTCAGCAGAGTTTCTCCCCTCTAAGAATAATAGGTAGTGAAAAAAGCCTCACCAATGAAGAAAATTCTGTTATCCTCAAGGAAAGTGCTAAAGCTACCTCGCTTCATTTCATTGCAGAAAAGAAATCAGTCTTCATGTGGATACAGTTAGAGAATTCCTGAGGGATCATTAGCTAATGAAGAAATGATCCGATTGTGGGACCTCCGAAAGAGTGACAGCTAAGAATTGAAAGAATATAATCCGAAAGTCGCATAGAAAACCCAGACACACAAGCAATGCCATTTTCACAGTCGCTGGATTTCCTCATCTACCGAAAGCTACCAGAAACTGCATCGTCGGAACTCTTGCTTCCGTGCGAAATCCCTTGAAACTGTCTTAATGGCCCGTCACAGGAATTTGAGGCTTCCTTCTGCCCGAAAGTACATGACGTGGAACATGTGTTCTGTTCACTGCCGAGATAAGCGTGACTCCAGACGGACCTGACAGTAGGGCAAATGGTTGGGTCTATTTCGGAGATGAGCGTCACTAAAGTTTACGACGTCAACATCAGATCAGAGTGGAGGAGACGTATTTGGACTGGTATCATTGAAGATAGACATATTGTCCCAGTTATGGTGCCTGAAGTTTTAAAGTGATCGCAGTCGCCTATTGCAACCCCCTAAACGAAGTCTTGGATCCATAGCTAGATGATGCCACACCTTCGGATTCTGTATTCATTCACGACAACACTCTCTCCCACTCTCTCAGGGTCACCAAAGCATTACTAAGGTCTTACGTGATATAAGGTGAAAGGTTGATGGTGGGGCCGCCTGCCTTTCCGGATCCCAACCCAATCGAAAATCTTTGGTCCATAATTAAACAAGATGTTTATGCCGATGAAAGCTAATTTATATCAAAAGCTATCTTATGAGTGAACATCAAAGCTGCAGCAGAGCCAGTCAAACATACTAAGATAAAAATTAACAAATTCCATGATTAATAGTGCTTTTGAAGTTATTCGTTGTAATAAAGGCTCATGTTAACAAATATTTCATTATGTAAGTAAATCTAGTAATATAAATATGGTTGTCAGTTAAATATATACTCAAGTTATGCATAATATCCCTCATCATCCTTCATTTTCTCCAAAATTTGTTTAGATGGGCAATTTTAATTCAAAAGCTATTAGCGCCGTTCACCCGAAAACTGTCGAATCTGAAATATTAAATAAAGGGCGTTACACAGAGTGATGAAAATCTAACAATATGGTGTTGTCATATTGTGTAAACCAGCTGGGAAAAGTTTTTTTTTTCAAAATCACTTCACAGAAAACCGAGAAATACTAAATATCACTACCATGCTATTAGCATGGTTCGGGGTATAATGGATGCTGGATAGACAGAGGAACATGGCGAATTAGCTACTTAACGAGACTGTTAAAATGTTTGAAAGAACATGGATTAGAACCAATTACTATTGGTACAGTCTCAGTCTTCATTCCCCACATCCTGTTAATCTCGATCTCCAAGTCCCTATATTTGGACAATTCCTCGATAATTTTCATGGAGGTGTTTTTTTCTCAGATGGCATTGTTATATTAATACTCATACACTTCCTAAATTTATTGTCTTTCATGATAATATCCGGTCTGTGGGGATTTATTTCTCCGTCAGTTTGTATTGGCATGTTCAAAAGGATAGTTACATTCTGATTTTGAGTAACTGTGTCTGGTGGCTGCTCATACCATGTCTCAGTGTTTTCGATTTTGTGTTTCTTGCATATCTTCCAGTGCACATATGTCGCTACCTTGTTATGTCCGTTGGTTTATTCATTTTTTTTTTTTATAGTTCCAGACGTCCTAAGATAATATGGTCAAGAGTTACATCATATTTTCCGCAGATCCTGCATTTCTAGTTAGTTCGACACTTGATTATGGGATAGAGATAAGATCTGGTTGCCAGCTGCTATAATTAGGCATTCTGTCTCAGCTTTCAACCCAGTGCTCCTCAGGCATTAATAAGTTTTCTGTTGATTCACATCTGCTACTTCCTTTCTTCTTCTTCTTCTTCTTCTTCTTCTTCTTCTTCTTCTTCTTATTATTATTATTATTATTATTATTATTATTATTATTATATAGTGTGATTTCTATTGCATACACATTTGGTTTTCTGTGCAGTTTGATTGCTTAATGTTTGGTTTTAGCAAACAGCGCGTGTATTTACTTAGGTCGTGCAACCGATACCCGACAGAACGAAAACGTAAAACGATGAAGCAGGTTCTTACATTGTTATTTAATTAAGAGAATTATTATGACAGGGATTATGTATTCCAATATGTATTAGATTAATTTTTGGTCTAAATTCACTCTATTACAGTTGCTGTCATACTCTGGTTTTATTACATTGATGAAAGGAAGTAAAAAGATGAGTATGTTCATTCCATCGCAATCCTACGAAAAACAGAGTAGAAGTAATAAGTTAATTCGTGCTTATGATCGAATGGAAAAAAAAACTTGATTTATTTCGTCCACAAAAGACGTGTTCGAAAAATATTTTAGACAGAAAACGTTTTCCTTTGTTTCCTTAATCAGAAATAAAAACAATAATCGTGGAACTCTGTCCTTAAAATAACAGGACCGTTCGTGAAATGATGACAAAGGCAAAATTGTACATTTGTCTCTAATAATTAGCAATTGGGATCCGAAAATATATACCATACATATCTGAAAAGTGTATACGAGTAGCATATTTCACCTTATTTCGTATTTGAACTTTTTAAATATACACATATACTAAATTGTTGATTTTTATTACTAATTGTATGTTTCACAGCTAGTGGGTTTGTTCTTTTTGTTTAGCGGCATATCAATCTCTGAAATCAAATTTAGTTTAGATAATTTTGGTTGGAGATAATTATAGTTTTAACAATACTGGATTTACTAACTCATTCGCAAGGGTCTTCTAAGCGTAGTCCGAAATTATGGGACAACCAGTGAGGATCGAACTCACTACTCAGGTGTAATTGTTCTAGCGGGACAAGCCTGCTATCACACTACGACGAGGTGTCTAAAGTGATTTGCCAAGCTTAGCTTAGATGTGGCACAAGGCTGAAAGTAAGTAGTAATTGTTCTAGCGAGACAATCTTGCTAACCATTACACCGCCTCGAGGAGCCTATAATGCACACGTAGGTTGGGGTAGAAGACATTCATTCATAACTCCCAAGTATATTTGTGTAAATAACTAACCCAACCGGAATTGGAAATCAGCACACCGATTAACAATTCCTAGCAAATAACCATTACACCAACAATACATGCAAGCTTGCAGCACCTGGTATTCCCATGCGGTCACCTATCTCGGTACTAACCAGGCTCGACGTTGCTTAACTTCGCTGATTTTACGGGAACTGCTGTTTAAACAGGATGTGGATGTAAACCTTTTTTTCACAGCTAAGAAGGACGCGTGGAAATGCAGCTATTGCACAGATACCAAATGTTAGTTTAAAAATAATGTACACATTCTAAACTTTATCTAGCTTTTCGTATCACGTCCTATAAAACGGGTAGCGAAAGTGCAAAAACACTGTTTTAATACCTCAGAATTTTCCAGAAATGTTTTTATGTCTATTACCTCTTACCATGTAGATGGAGACCCGTGGAAATTAAATGGTTCAATATTTTGTTACTGTAACTAATTATTTCCGTCTGGCATGGTTCATATTACTATACAATTTAGATAAAGTGAGACATTAAACTAATGAAGGCGTAATCACTTCCTCTATCTTACCTTTAACTCATTATCTTATATTTCACACATTATCTTACCTTTTATTCCTCCATTCTTTCTTTTTTCTAGAAACATATTTACAGCTTCAACGTAACCAAAAAGGACGTATACCAGAAGGTTTAAATTTGTTTTGAGATCTTTCTATACCATGAATTTGTGTGCAACAGACAGAAAAGCTATTACAAATTGTAAGGTACTAAATAAGGAAAGGAGGCAAGCCGGAACGATAATTTAAGATTTGTCTAAATATGTAATACATGTTAATATGTAAGTATGTAATGTATGTGAGTATGTAATATATGTAAACTTTCATCCCTATTTTATGTAATATTGCACTCGCCCTAAACATACAATTTACTTATTAAAACATTTATTACAACGATACAAACAAAATTGAAATAATAATAATTATTGATATAATTCCTTTTCATTGACAAGGGAAAAGTGTAAAGCCTTTAAATAAACTGAACAAACAATTCTCGAAATGTAATGAAACAAAACATTGAATTTCTTATGGCAGTTTGCACATTGTTTTTTTTCAGTTTGCATTCTCCATGATGAATCAATGTTGCTTTGAGTTGAGTGGAATTGTTTACTCCGTCAAGGGTTCTGATTTACTGACACGGCCCACAAAACTTTTAGATCAAGAAGACAGTTTTGAAAGAGAGCTGAGAAATATTTTGATTTGTGTACGACGAATAATCGTTAACTCATCTAGTTTGAGTTATTCTGCCAAAAACCCCGACTATTAACCAGTTATAGAAAAATCGAAACTACCTTTATTATTCACGAATAAAAAAAAAATGGTAAAGAGACACTTACTTGTCCAACAAATCAATTCCCTCTCATGCATTTATTATATAAAGATATACATTATTTGAAACGAGGCTTACTTGCTTTTATCCTTTTGGTGGCATGAACTTGATGTAGAACTTCTATTTCTAGAAACGTAAATTTTGTTATCATTCATTAATAACAGTTGGCATTCTATAATCCGGGAGTTCTTCTTATTACCGTTCTTCGGTGACATATAATAAACAGCAATATGGCAATAACTTCTTTTAGTTCACTTCTATAAATATGATGGTTTTCTTGTTATTTCGGATTTCAGCAAGCAGATTCTTAGTCATTATATGTCCCCATAGACTTACAATTCTGTTATCTTTTGTTGCATCTAATTTGTTCATATTTTTCAGATAATGTATACAAGATCAACTGCTGTCGAAGAAAGCAAAAGACATGTTTGTTTGCAAAAGGGATATTTCAAGTAGAGCTGCTATTCATAAATTATAACATTTTGTCATGTTGTATTGATAATGTTATAACTTATGAATATGTCCTGAAGATGATTTATTAGACCGAAACATCCGACGTTGACATATTAACATTAAAACAGCATAATTGTATATAAGGATTTTTGTTTGTTTTTTCAGTATATATTTTCATCATACTGTCGGATCTATATCTATATCCATATATATATATATATATATATATATATATATATATATATATATATATATATATATATATATATATATATATATATATATATATATATATATATATATATATATATATATATATATATATATATATATATATATATATATATATATATATATATATTAAATATACAGTACTATTAAACGTATAGCTGGCAACATTGTTTCCAAAAAACGTATAGCTGGCAACATTATTTTTCCGAAAACATTATCTGGGGCCTTGCTGTTGGACGAAGTTTATCGTCATACCCAGGACGCGGATGTAGTTTATTGTCATACCCAGGACGTGGGTAAGATCTGGAAAAACTAGAAGTTCACTATTTGCCCATAGCTGGGACCCTAACAGTAGCTACCACTACGGGTCAAAGTGGACCTGGGAACACTAGCAATTAAGAGGTGGTTCCACGCTCCTCAAAACCTCCTGATCAGAGGCGTTGCTGCTGGATGCAGTTTAACGTCATACCCAGGACATTGTTGAAGTCAAGTGAGTTCTCAAATTCAGGCCTTTCTCGGAATAGATATTAAAAGGTAGCAAATGGAATAACGATACGGAAAATTGGTAAATTTTGAAGTGCCATGATCACCCATGTTCCTAATAGAAGGCGTATGTCTTTTGAATAGCTATGGTTATATTTCCTCCATTTTGGTTAAATTATTTCAGTTATTTTCAAAATGAAACAAAAATGATTATGGCGTTAGAGCTTCACAGGTAATTTAGTCAATGAATATTTCTAAAATACTTCGACGTTTCTCATTAGCATCAAGAATTAGTTTCAATTCTATTACAATCACATTCATCACTCACTTCCTTTGGCTGTAGACGAATTATAAACATTTCCACGTTATCATCGCTTTTGTCGGCGAAACTTTCTTTAAGAATTGTAATAATCTCTTCCACTGTCAGGTCTGTCTTGATTAGTGACATTTTTTTCTAAAGGATCTAAATATCCCTGTCACTGGAGAGTAGACAATCTTCAACAAAGTTTCCGGTAAAGACGATAAATAAATCCGTTATATGATTGCAATAGTGAACAAAGGAACACATTCCATTCTACCTGTCCAAGCAGATGACGTCAACCAACCATTGAAAATATCTTTTCACTACTTTCAAACCAACTAGATTTGTTGGATTTCTCGACCTGCTGCAACGGTTAATAAGATTGTCTGTGTTATCATTACTGCTCAGTCGTCAGTTGGGTCCTCACTCTGCCCGTTGTAGCATTTTGACGAACCCTATTAGTAAATAACAACTAGCTAGCTTCCTTTCCAAGTTTCGAGTTCAATACCTTCGGCTAGCATTATGGAAACGTGAGTGGTAGCATGTATAAATAAGCACCATGTTACATATATATATATATATATATATATATATATATATATATATATATATATATATATATATATAAATATTAGGAGGATTTGATAATTATATTTAATTAATTCATCGAGTCTGATAGAAACCTCAACAGAATGCAGAAAGCACTGGACGGCCCTTTCGTCCTATATTTGGGACTCATCAGCCGCCCAGTGCTTTCTGCATTCTGTTGAGATTTCTATCAGACTCGATGAATTAATTAAATATAATTATCAAATCCTCCTAATAATTTATATCTTTGTATATCATTGCTTGAACCGGCTTCTAATGCTATAGAGTGAGCGGCTTGGTGAGAGTAGTCGTGGCTCCAGGGGGTACAGTCCTATGGTCACAGAGACACCAGAGTTCCACCACGGAATATGTGAGCGAGCGGCGCTTTGTTGAGTCTGATTTGCAATCTCTTCGTCACCGAGGCCCGTCGGAACAGTTGGTATGATGTTTGCTTGACAACCTAACTGTCAGGGTTTCCATTCTCGGTAGTGGATACGCACTGCTGATGATTCCCAAATATAGGACGAAACGGCCGTCCAGAGCTTTCTGTTGAGGTTTCTATCAGACTCGATGAATTAATTATATATATTTATATATATATTTAAGTTATGAAGAATTTGGTAAATTTTCATTGTTGGAAGTGTTACCTGATGATCCAAAATCCTTTAAAAAGGATTTTGGTGAAATAAATTATTGTAATGGTACCTTAAAGTGTCCGTTGTTCATTATATATATATAAAGATTTTTCTGTTTAACAACAACGGATGTGTGATCACATATAGAAACTTATGAAATAAAAAAAAATCAACCCGCCATGCTTTGTGCGAATATTTTTCTCATATTGCTTTCTCTTTCTTAAGAATGAATACAAAAATAAATTTATGAAAATTAAATTAAAGCATTACTTTTATATTATTTTACATTATGCAAGCCAAAGTAATATACAGAATATAAGCTTATTTTTTATTTCAATTTATAAGATTTGCTATTAATTACTGTTCTAACCTAGGGAAGGTTACTGAATAAAATAATCACACGAAGCTTCGTAATGAACGATAATACTTAGGATGAGAACAACACATATAAGATTCGTCAGCGGCGCGTAGTAGTAGTGGTCAACTGCTAGAAGTTAGTGAAGTGAATTCCAAAATGAATCACCAGCTGGAGGATATCTACCAACCACCTCACATAGTCAGATGTGGCACAAGGCCAAATTTAAAGTGGGGTATCAGACCCCGTATGTTCGGCCAAATTTGCCCGTATACCCCATATAAAATGGGGTCGGATAGCTGTTTCCCAAGACGAAACTCTTCCTTTCGACATAGCCTCGTCGGGGATCCTCTTTGTCCAGAGGCAGAGAGTTTGGCCAGCACAGCTGGATACGAAACTTCAACTGCAGTATATCTACCAAGCTTCACGCAGTCAGATGCGACACAAGGCCGAACTTAATGGTCCGAGACCGTATGATGGGCCAAAATTCCGTAGATCCCGTATAAAACAATGGTCGGGTAGCTGTTTCCCGAGACGAAACACTGCCCTTCAACATAGTCTCGACTGGATACGAAACTTCAACTGCAGTATATCTACCTAGCTCCCCACGCAGTCAGATGCGACACAAGGCCGAACTTAATATGGGGTGTCCGAGACCGTATGATGGGCCAAAAATTCCGTAGATCCCGTATAAAACAATGGCCGGGTAGCTGTTTCCCGAGACGAAACACTGCCCTTCAACATAGTCTCGACTGGGGACCCTCTCTGCCC